TTTTATAGTTGTATATCATTTTGGCTAAATCATATGAATGTAAAGAAAATGGTAGAACAAGACTAAAACAGCCCAGCATGTTTTCGGTCAGAAATCAAAAGCTGTCAGTAAGATGTAGAAACAGAATGCCTAAGCTTCTGTTCAGTCAGCTGTAAAAGACAAGAAGACAGAACCAATGAACTATATGAATGTATAAATTAAAAACTCAGACCTACCAAGAGTAGATGAATCTGTTACTGTAAATTAATTATTAGTAAGATGCACTCATTGGCAAGCTACAAGTCTGTGTGGATTAGGAGCTATTTCCCATTTCAGACTTACTCTATGCATTTGATGAATAATCTGTAGGCATAGCAGCCTATTCTAATGTTTACATGTTTGCACTTTTACAACTAGAAACAGTACAGTTTAGGACAGCGCATGCATTTGCAGTGACATCTAATTCTGGAGAAGAAGCAGAACTACATTAGCAGCTCACTTTAAATTCTGCTTATTGTTTCATTTCAGAGAGCTGCTGTTTAGTGTTTGCATAATATGATAAAGATGTTGGTGCTACCCTCTACATATGCCACAGTTCCCAAGGTTTAGTGTGGTTTTCTGAGGAACTGTGACTTCAAACCACTATGGTTCTTCATGGCATCACTGAGCATCTTTCATACTTATCTGGTAATTATGTTGCTCTTTAGCTCATGACAGTAAATAGGTGTGATGACTCAATTCTGTAAAAACAGTATATTGGGAGGCCTTCCAATTATGTGCTAGTGCTACAACATAAATATTGATAATTTTTAACATTAGATTGAATCAGTGGATGGGTTAGCTTTGCTTTAATTACATTAAAGATCACATATTTATCACTTTTCCTCCAGAAAGATTTTTACACTTGTTTCTGAACAAAAAAAAAAAAAAGTGAGAACTGTTTGGTCTGTAGAAATTCTTGGTCACCCTTTTTGTGCACCTTTTTTACAATTATTGTCACTAACATATGATGAGTTTGGAAACTTCTGGCTTAACCTGAAAAGGAGTTCAGAATTAAATCTAATCCATGTAGTATGGTTGCTTCATGCACCACATAAATGTTGGATCTTCTGGATAAGATTCATTAATCAAATGTAAACCATCATTAGTGAATATAGGGTTAGAGATTGTGAGGATGGTTGTGTGTAAAGGAGTCACCTTATATCGATTGTGAGGGAAAGTAAAAGGAGCATTTAAAACATCCAGTATTCTATGAAAAAGGGGATGTAAAAATAACTACATCTTTGGCATTCAGATGTCTTTGAATTACTAGTAATTATTCATGTTTCTGTTTTGTCTGCTTTTTAGTGATGTACATGTGGTTATATATTTATACTCAGGCTCTGTGTTGGTAAAGTTCTCTGTTAATGAGGATAAATGTTACTTAAGTACCTATATGAAATAAATATCCTCCTTTGTCCTTCCAGAAGCACATCTGCGAGACGATTACCCACCCTACAGCCACTAAAATATTTCTTCTAGATCAGAATCAAAGTGTAGCTTCATTCTACGTTATTTCTGTTGCTGTTTGTTTTTCCAGTACATTTGCTTTATTTATTCTTGTGGTGCTAGTATTATTTGAAGTTACTACGGCAACGTGTCACCATCTGCTATTATAAAGTATGCTGGGATTTAGTTGCTAGGTATTGAAGTTTGTCATCTTACTCATATGACCTTAATGTTTTTCAGATGTTTCTTTTCCTCTATATGTTTCATCCACAGCTAATATGCACTTTAACAACAGGAGAAAAGATTACGCATTCTTTCTGCCTGACCTTAGAAAGCCTGATTTGCCTTACAGAATACATCTATGATCCCTTTTGATGTACTTTGTATATACTCAAAACAGCATTTTTTTTTACCTTAGCCACTATTTTGCAGTGTTTATACTAAACCCAGCCAGCATTATAGTTCATTTAAATTTGATATAAGTTATGATTTTTTTTAAGTGGGCAGGGAGTTTAAATGTTTCCTGAGACATTTTCTCCTCCATCTCATTTTCATTTGACTATCTACTTACTTGTGTTCCTGATCCCAACAGAATGTTCCTACTATCAATTTCCTTGTTTCTTTACCCATCTTTTGAAAGACTGTCAGCCAATTGGTTAATTAAAAAATTAGAATTCTGTGCTGTTTCTGTTCTGGGTTCTTTTATATTTAAATGGAAATGAATGTTTTTAAGTTGGAAAACATACATTTTATTAGATCTTTTCATACAGTGTATTCACATATTTTCTGTTAACTTTTCTGTTAGTATTCTCTCATCAGACAAGTATTTACTTTGATACATTTATTGTTTTTATACATTTGACCTAGTTCTAATCAATCTTTTCTGCTGTAACTCATGGGATAAATGCTAACAAGCCTAAACACAGCTGAAAGGACTTGTTAGGATGCTATCTGAAGAACTTCACCTTCTCTGCCACAACCTTTTTTTTATGCTATTCAATCCCTACATGCAGTGCTTGACTTAATGAAATAAATTTTTGAATCATAAGCATTAGACTGTTTTGTTTGTAGGTGGTGCTTGATTCTGAATTTCTTCTGTCCTTCCAGTGAGCATGCAGTCTGCTTTCAAAGTGTAATAGATCGTTCTGGTGGAGAACTTCCTGTATTTTCAAGCAGTTAATGCTCTTTGCATGTTCTAGTAAGAGGTACTTAAACAGCATAGGAGAATTTAAGTGAATACATAGAGATTTTTGCATATTTGATCACAGCTCTTTAAAGTCCTTAAGTTCTACCAGTGAGAATGGTGATGCTGAGAGTGCATGAGTACTTCAAAGATCCGAGGCTGCAGCTAAGAGGCGAATCTTTATTGCTGGTGTTTGAGAATTAGGAGGGAGGGGCAAGCTTTTAACCTATAAAGAAGCTAGCAGTTAATTTCTAATAGTTGAGATCACTAGCAAGAAAATTATTAAAGATCAAACAGTGTGTTTTTTCCTGCTTTACAGATACATGGAAATGATGTAGGAAGTTTTTGAAGCAAACCAGCTTTACTGGCACCTTCTTTTTTCATGTATCATTCAGTCCCACTGATGTGAATTTGATGGGTCTGGTGCGAGATACTGGCCAGCAATATGTGATCTTTGCTTATGGCTCTTTCCAGTAATCAAGGCATATCGTCTGTTAATTTTAAAATCACCATACACAGTTACTAAGAATAGGCATTCATGCTGTACCATAATCACATATATGGCTAGACACATTTTAGAAGTTGGTTTCAACAAAAGAATTAACCTTCTTAAAATCTCTGTGCCTTTAAGCAACATAATACATCTATTCAATGCTTGTGAAGAAATGCTTCTTATTTCAAGATTGTTTAACACGAGTATAGAAAGGCATTCTGTGGCAAATGTTTAAATACTAAAAATACAAGCTGTTTTTCAGGCACAATTCTCTAACTTCTGTCAGTTTTGGTTTGGTTTTTTTTTTTTTTTTCAAAATCAAGACATCAGAAAAAAACTCCCCCCTCCCAATTTCATTACTGAATCCTTTGCAATTCATTATTACTTTCAGCTATACATTTAACATCACAGAAAAGATTAGTCTGATCCATAACTGTGAAAGTGAACTACTACAGCAGGAAAACCAGCGTTTCTTTAGAAGAGCATCAGTACCCGAGAACACACAATTCCTTACCTGAAAGCTTTTGGTTTACCTGCAGAAAATGTGTCTTCTTAGCCTTAAAAAGTAGGCAAGCCTCTCAGCAGCACTAATGCTAGTCCAAAAGAAGCTATAATAGGTCCTTTAAATTGTAATTTTCACTGTTTATATGCAAGAAGTGTGCTGGGTCTGCTCACGAAGGAATAAATAAATAATTAAAAAAGGCAGTACAAACTGAACAGTGGCTAACATATGAAAGTAAAAGACCTCTAGTGGCCATAACCTGAAGTTAAAGAAGGTTTCCGAGCTCTAAGTGGTAAGACAAAATGGTTGGGTACGACAAACTGCAGCTGATACTTTGGTAATGTGTGCCTTTATTGCCTTTCTGATGTAACATAAGTATAAAGTGAATCAGAATTAAACAGAGAATTGGATCACTACCAGGTGGAAATTAAATTCTGGTCAGAGAGGCTGGGGAGTCTCTTTTATCAATTCTAAACCAGAATGATGAAAAGATCAAATTAAATCTAGAAAATTATTTTGCATGCTCATCTACTTAGTCTCTTGTTTTAATAAAATCAAAGCACTTTAAAGCAGGTTCACTTTTAAAACAATAATTAACAGCAAATTATAAGGCATCAATAAGGAGGATTCTTTGCTGTCTTAAAGGAAAACTGCAAATCATTAAGCTCACTATTATTGCTTGACAGATAAATGTCTTTGTTACTTTGAGTAAATTACAGTGAAAACCTAGGATTATAAATACTTTTATATCTGTTAGCATTTCTGCTTTAGGAATTGAGAAAATAAAATGTTTCCTTTTGAGGAAGTTTGAAAAGTTTTGAGAGATGAATGTAATAGTATTCAATAGATGTTTCACAGAGTTCTGTAACAGCTACTTAAATGCCTGCAGAATATAGAAAATATCCTTTCTTGCAGTATTTCTTCCTCTGAACAGCCTATGTTTCTAGACTGATTAGAAAATTCGAATGCTAATATATTTTCTTCCTATGAATTCTTCCTAATGGAAGAATCCTGGGCAACATCACATGCCATTTAGGAGTCTTAAGGTAATATTGAGTTGTACTTTATAAATAAAGTTTTCTTGTTACAATGTGTTTTCCCATGCAGTGTTTCATAAATGATGCAGCTTTCTCACCAAAGCCTACCCATTGTCAGGGTAGATTCTGGATTATCCTTTGAGTTCTTAGTGTGTTTCTTTTATCTGGGCTTGCAAAAGCTTGAATACTATTTAATTTTCACATCCATAAAAGGATTTATTAGGCATTTAGACTAGTTGAATGTTAGAAAGAATGCAATCCCCTATCTTAAGTAATCGGCACGTGTTTGATTTCTGTCCGGTTTTCTTTCAGAGTCATTTTGTGGCATGCATGACAGCGATCTTAAACCAGATGAACAACCAGCATTATTCAGTTTATATTGAAACTTTTCAGACAAGTTCAGAACTAGTGGTGAGTACAAAATAATCATGGAGGTGATAAAGAATTCTAAGTATTCTATTTCCTGCGATAAAATCAGTAGTGTTATTTTGGAATATCTAGTCTGATTCTTCCTTGAATTAAGTCTGGCTTTGTATGTTTTCTGCCTCTATGTCATTGTGTTGCCTCCCACTACTAATGGTGACCTTGGACAATACCGTAATTAGAAATTTGGAAAGATGTAAATGTCACTGTTGTTGACCCTAGCACAAAAGTGGTAATATAATAACCATGAATAAGTATTGAGATCTTTGTGTTATACTGTTCTGAGGAGAAAAAAAACCTACAAGGAAACAACAGCAAAACCAATCCTCAACTAACTGAACCCACCCTCCCTGCTTTGCCCATGGTGCTCCATTTCCATTTTCCATTTTCACGATTGAGTCTACTCCTGGTCCAGATAATATTGTAGGCTAAATGCAGTAAATGCCTTATTATTGCAACATATCACTTTATGCCAGTCGTTTCTGGCATAATTTAACAATACTTGGGGTATATTCTAGTTCGTACCTGTGGTCACAATGTTCTAGAAGGTTTCAGTAGCCCTATGTCTGTCTTTTTATACTCCTGATGTAAGTCTGGATATTGCCAGAGGTTTTGGTTACACCATCTACAGTTTGTCCGTGCGGGTGATATTTTTCACTTGCCAAGATTTGTCCATTTTGTTTTCTTTCTTAAAGTCAGAGTGGTGCCATAAATGAAATTCTAACAGATGAAATCTTGGGTCGCTTTTGCAATTCTTCATGTACTTTAGTTTACTTGAAAATGTAATGGTATTTTAATGTAATTTCAGCTTCCAAGCAGATTGTGTACTTGGTCCTAGAAGTTTTAGTAATCCTTAAATTACTTCAACAGTTCTGCAGAGGAAAAAAAAATATTAAAAAAGAAAGACGTCAATATATTCAATGAGTTTTGCTGTTTGTGAAGGCATTGGTTTGTTGTCATCTCATTTTTTTCCATACCGTAAGTATATGTCACTGGGTTTTCTGTAAGAAAGGATAGAAGAAAGGATGAGAAGAAAGGATACTTCATGGAGAGTTGCTTGTGAGGTTTTGGTAATAAATGATGACGTTTCTGCTTGCTAGTTTTGCAGGCTTCTAGTGAATTGCTTAGAAGTTCAAGAGAAAAAACCACATATATGTGCTATATGTGAAATAGACCTGAAATGATTATGTTAATTTTATTTAAGTTAATTATACAGTGATCTCTAAATACTTCTAGGAAAAGAAATAGCGTTTGTTTTATTTGAAAGCTTTGTCAGTGCCTTCAGTTTTCAATTTAGAATACTAAATTTGGATTAATTGGACCAAATAAAAAAATCCTATATTTTTCAGATCTATTAATTCTTTATTAATAGTGAGACTGTTTTGCTAATTAATAAAAAATTCAAGAGCTTTACTCCAAAATACTATAACTTTTTCTTTCCATTCACTTATGGCTTATCTTTTCTTAAGAGCCCAATATAATGACTTTTAGCTTTCATCTGGAATCTGAGACTGCTGTTTTACAGGACTTCAGTTCCAGTCTTGGGCTTACTCATACCACCAGGAATTTTTCCATTGACTTCACTGGGAGCAAAGTGGACCCCTCCATCTTAGTTCTTTAATCACACCAGGATCTTTGTGTTACACAGTCACAGACTTTACTGTATTTTGTTCTTCTAGGACTTCTTGATGGAAACGTTCATAATGTTCAAAGATCTCATTGGAAAGAATGTTTACCCTTCAGATTGGATGGCAATGAGCATGGTGCAGAACAGGTAAAATGGGGCTAGAGGATCAGTGCTCACGTTCCACGTGCTTGTGAAAAGTGAACTTGTTTCATACTTACAAAAAGTTTTACTCTGCAGTCTAAGATGATTATATCATTCCAGTTTGGTGAATACCAAGAAGGTCATAATCTGAAATAATTTACTGACAATACATTAAATAGCTGGCTGCCTGTGCTTTAAGTCCACTTACAATGGAAAAGGAAAAAAAAACGGTATTCAAGAGTAAAGTGGAAGCATGTAGTTGGTCTTCATGTTGACCGTCAACAGAAGCCAAACTGTAAATGCCTGTCAAATCTTAAATGTACAATTTCTGCACAGGGTTCAAATGTCCTCGCTAATATGTCAGCAAGTTCATTGTGATGCAAGAGTTATCAAACACAATTTCCAAAATGGTATGGTTGCTTGGATTGCTAAAAAGTCTGGTGATAAAGACCAAATCTCAACGTACTATTTGTAGGAGGAGGTTGGATCCGCTGTGCTTACTGTATCTCATATCATTGAGGAAATCTATTGCTACACTATGGATCATTAGTGGTTTCATTATGATTGATTACTTCAAACTCAGGCATATTGCCTCTGTAGATCAAGATGGCATCTAAGCAAAAGTTTGTGTAACCAATTTTATCATGCTCTCTATTTGCTCTATGAGAGCTTTCTATGAATAAGAAATCTTTGAGTACTCTTATAAAATTGAGTGAAGGAAATATTTTGTAGACATAAACTGTGCAGATTGTACACCTTTACCTACAGCTATAATCTGTCTGTTTTGGTGTCACCATAAATGATGGTGGGATAAACAAACTATTGTTTACTGATCTCTGTTAAGCCACAGGACCACTGTTGTCTTTGGTGTTAGGATTGCAAGTAGTATAAGTGAAAGTTCACATAACTTCCATATCACGTGATACTGAATTGGAAAGAAAAGAGAAGTGATCTTTGTGCACCTCCATCATTGATAATGGGTTTAGACAGCTGCCTTGGCCAAGCATATCACAGATGTATTCTTTCAGAGTATCTTTGAAATATTGATTGTTTGAAGAGGAAGGAAATGTTCTTCCCTTGAGGTGTGGGGTTTGCTGTTTGTTATGGGCATCAGTTAGAAATGAATGGTTTGGGCAACAAGGAAAGTCCCGTGTGTAGGGTTTAGGATGTGCTATGTGAGGACTTATTTCTTAATAATTGTTCCTAGCCATTCTGAGGTACTGATTTTTTTCTTTTTGTGTCTCTAGTCTATAACAGAGGAAAGCAAGGGAGAGCTGGGCTGAGAAAGCAAAGTAAAACACGTGGCTGCTCTAAACAAAGTTGTTAATTGATTCAATTTGTTTATTTGTGGAACATGGAGGTGGGGAAGAGTTTCCTCAAAATTTGAACCCATAGAGGTTTTACAAGCATCTGCATATGTAGAAGAAATCGAGCAAGAAAGTAGCTCTGAGCATGTGACCACCTTACCTTGTAGATTTCTATTTTTGTTTGCTGGATTTCTTCTTAGTGGAAATCATGGCTAAAAACCTCACTGAAAGGGATCTGGATTTGGGGAAAAAAATTAACTTAATTTACATTTTTATATGTATTTGTGTGTTACTTTCAGAGCTGAACTTATTCTTGCTCCTTGTTCTCAAAGAAACTCTTTGAGTTTATATGCTGGATTGGATCATGAAGTGAATATGGCTGGATTTTGTTTTGTTTTGGGGTGGGTTTTGTTTTTTGTTTTTTTGTGGGTTTTTTTGAGCAAGACTTCTTTTGGTGAGGTGGGATTTGATGACATGTACTGTCATTATTTTAGTTTTGTAGAAATGGCAGTAACATTGAGTTTTCTAGAAGCCACAGAAAGACTAGTCTAATAATTAAGTCTCAAAGATGCATAGGTTCCAATTAACTTAAAGTCCACAGATACTGTTTATTTGAAATGTCAGAGTTATGTGATTTTACTCTTCCCGTTTTATAATATTGAAAAGGAGAGAACAGAGGATACTTAATGAAGTTGATAATCTTCTGGGCGTTTGGTCTTGAGGAAAAGATTTGCTAAGAAAATTTACAACATTATGACATCAAATTTTGCTATTGGATACATTTTCATCTTGGATTTGAATGGAATAATGTTAAATGAAAAGGTGTTCTTTTGTGCGTTCCATGACTCAAAGCAAAGATTATGGATCTGGTGGGTAGTGACGATGGCAGTGAGGGCTCAGGTGCCTAAACCTGACTTTCTGTCACTCATGTATGCTAACGTTCATGCAGAGAGATGGCTGACCCCTCGTTTGAGGTGGGCAGATCCATGTATGTTGGTGGATGTCTTCATTTCCGGTAAGATTTTGTAAATGATAGTGTTTTCATCCCACTTGTTTCTCTAAGCCCGTCTTTGGCCTATATAATTCAGTGCACATACTTATGTTGCTGCTGTAGCAATTTGCAATTATTATGTAGCAAGGATTACTCTTTAAAAGTATCAGTTTAGTAGTAAAGTAACCTAAGTCTTCTGTTGTATGCAAGCATATCAAACCCTTCATATGTAAAACTGTTTCTTTGATCTAGAAAATGCTGCTAACATCTGGATTATTCACAAGTGTAGGACTTTTTTTTACTCTGTGGGGGCAGGGGAAGTGTCAATCCTTGTTCACAGACTATGGCTTTGGGGTTCACCTGGTGGTATCTATGTTGCCTTAGTCACTGATAATAGAAATTCATTTGTGGTACTCTACGCTTGTTGATAATGCCTCCTAATGACTCTGAACTTTGTGGGACAATTTGGTCCAGGCAGGCTTTATTGCTCTAAACCTTATCCTGCATTGGACAAGACAAATGAAAATATTTAAAGAAAAAAGTCAGCATTAACAAAAATATATGTTTAGAAGCTATTTAACAGTGCTTTTGTAAACACATTGCTTGCTTTAATTGATTGGCACTGTTTCTCTACTCTTTGATTATGTTGCTGTTCCCAGGATTATATAAGGAAATGAGTTATCTATCTTACTTTCATATCTTAATTTTATATTATATCAACAACTTGGAGGGAGCAATTTTGTTATAAATCTTTATAGAAATTTAGGGTTGTAGGTTTTTCGTTTGGGTTTTTTTGTTGTTGTTGTTTTGACGGGGCGAGTGTTCTATGAAATAAATTGAAGAATAATTTAGAATTCTAGATTTGTCTTATTAGCATGCTTTACTCCAAACCAGAGAAGTAGCAAAGAAAAAGTCACAAGGGGTCAGGCTGGAGGCTCTTATAATAGCAATGAGAAAATAAAATAAAAATAATTAAAAAAAAACAAAAAACCACAAAAAGTGTTAGCACGGCTAAGGTTTTACATTGCTAATTCATCTGTTCCAAGTAGGAGGCTACATGCAGGCCTTTTTACGCCCTGAAGGACATATTTTACCGTAAGAGTCTCTCCTTTCTGAATTTGCAAAAATATTAGTTACAGGCTGTAAGGCACGTCTATTGTGTAACCTAGCCAATGGCAGAATGTAGTTGGCACTTCTTCCCTACAGGCATTCAACAAAGCCTGACAGTTTCCCCCAGATGAGCTCTTGTGCTCTGTACCTAGCAGGGAAAGTGGGCATTGGAGGAATTTTGCTGTAGGATATACTGCAGTATAGAAATGTCAAATCAGAGTACATTTAGTTGGAGGCATAGGAAAGAGCTTAACTAGTACTGCAAATTTGGTCCTGTTTGTGGGTAAAAGGTGTTCCTAATGAGCAGGACACACTAATTACTCTTATACATAAAGACAGACATGTAGTACATGCATGATATCAGGGATATTTCAACTAAATGTTAGATGTGTGGCATAGATAAGGGGAAAACAATGAGAGAATGACTTCTTATAAGGTCCTGGGAAATTTAGTATTTTTTTTCAGACAGAGATAGAGAGAGCATGCTCCATCTGGGAAGGGAGGTGCCTCTGTCCAAAGGAAGGGAGAATGGACACGTTAAAGTCCAGGAGAAACTGTGGTAGGAGAGTTGAAAGAAAAGGAGTAGAAGCCTACTTGACTAAACTTATTTAGTCAAGCTTGCCTGTATCAGGATGGAATTATTTAACTCAAATTACTTTAAATTGCTATTATAAATAACTTGCTGTTTGCTTTCAAAGCATGTTCTGATTCCCAAAGCCCATTTGCAGGAGGCAGAGGCTGTGTGTACTAGTCTCACTGCACTGGGAGTATTTTATTAGCAACTGAGAATCAAAAAGTGGAATGAACTACTTTTTGTTGTTGTTCTGGGTTTTTTTTCCCTTCTTCCATTAATAGCAAGAAGGGAGGAGCAGTTTTTGTGGTGTGCTAGATGGGGCAGGACACTTTGGGAAATAGTAAAATCCTCATTGAGGTCATGAGGATATAATATCTGAGTTATTTTTGTGATCCTCCATGGTAGGATTAACAAAATTATCTTTTGTTCTAATGAAGGTTGCTTACTGCACACTTCTTACTAGTTGCTACTGCTTGTATGGGCACTTTATTCCTCTTAGGGTACTTAGACTATTGGCTATTAGCTTATTAAAAGCAGTAATTCCTAGGTACATGGCATTTGTGGGGAAATGCTTTGGTGGTTTAGGTAATACCATGTAGTCTGCTTATCTCTCAGCTGTTCATTATTTTAATTTAGAGGCATGTAATTCCTCCCAGGAAATTCCTGTACCTTATTGTCAACATGAAGGGCATAGGGAGTCAGATTCGCTGAATAAAAGAAATGGGTAGGGGTGTTAGCAACTAAAGGCAAGTATTCACATCCCTTCCTTTTGTTTCTCTGGGCTTTGAAATGGTAATTGCTCAAAGTTTAAAAGTACTTGATCTTATCATAATTAGTACCTGGAAACAGTTTTGGTTGATGTCCAGTCTAAAGTGGCTTAGTAAGCACTTTGTGTGTCCATTTGAGAAGCTTTTTGAACCTTGTTGACATTATATTGAGGTATTATTATTTAAGCTGAAAGAGGGTCGATTTAGATTAGATATTAGCAAGAAATTCTTCCCTGTGAGGGTGGTGAGGCACTGGC